AATAGACCAAGCCGTTGGACCCGCGAATTCGTTTTATCTTACGCATTATTATATGGATTTGCTTTAAATATTACTGGTCGAGCCGAACCTCAGTTTATCTACGCATACTTAAAAAAACATTCTGATTCGAATGAAACAAGTAATGTAACAACATCAAAACCGAAAGAATGTGGTCGGAATAATGAGGATAACCTCCAGGAACAAGCTTCTAGTTGGACTTGGTATTTCACAGTTTCAGAGTATGGAGTGGCAATACCTATTGTGATTTTAGTTGGTCCGATGGCTGATCGAGTTGGCCGAAAGCCAATTCTGTTGTGGAATGCAGTATTAACATTTATATCGTTTGTATTTCGGACGGTAATTGTATATATGTCTATGGATCTTTATTGGTTGATTGTTGCTCATGTAGTCAGTGGCATATCAGGAACATTCTACACTTTTGATTTAGCAAATCACGCCATAATGGCAGACATAACAAATAACAATGAAAGATCGTTTCTTATGGTAATTTTCGATTCTTTTCTTGGACTTTCAGTGACCTGTGCACAATTACTTACTGGGTACCTAATAGAATTAACAGGGTATACTTATCCATTCTTAATAACATCAGTTGTTCTTATGTTGTATATTTTTGTTGTTTACATTACATTGAATGATCCATGGAGACAACCGAAAACAGGAACTAAGCTTTCGATGTCGTCTTTTCTGATGCAGATATTTACATTATTCCGTCAAAAAACTGTAGTGACTGTATCTATTTTCCATTTTATTCTGTTTTTCATTGTGTATGTTTTATACTATTTTCCATTTAATTCATTTGTGACAATTAGAACTTTATATCAACTTGGTCCACCATTTTGTTGGAATCCTGTACACGTGGGTTGGTTTGGCGCAGGTGAAGATATAGAACTATTCATAGTTGCAACCTTCATTATGAAAATTGCACAGTGTGTTGCGACAGATGAAACGATTACCGTATTTGGATTGGTTTCTTCACTTGGTTGTTTTGTATTTTATGGTCTGTCTAACAATGACTGGATGCTTTATGGAGGTATCTTTACTACTTAGTTTACATAATGTTTTTCATATGTTACAACTTCCCTGACACTAAATAGCATTAATAATTGGTTTGTCATTTGCCTGTAACAAAATGCATTCCTTAAAAGTTTTATTTAGATGTTTTGGTATTTTTTATACTGTTTGCCAAAATTGTAGGATACTGAGTAGTACGTAATTACCTGTAATTATCAATTTACACTGTATTACACATGCGCTACAAACTTATACAACCAGCAAACATTTGATTAAAATAAAACAACAGCGGTGTAAATGAAACAAGGTTGAACCATAAGTCAACCAAAAATATTTCAAACAATGATGCACCATTATGATGATAAAATTTATCTAAAACTAGTAAATTGACACCACAACAAAAAGAAATATCGCAACTTGGGGATAAATAATGAAAATAGGAAACTAAACCTCAAAATCTCAGCACCAAAACACTAAAAGTAGAAGATGAATGAAATACTCTCCTTGTACAGCTCTTTATTTATATTATATAGCATGTAATTTGAAACACAAGACATATTTCAGCAACAGCAATTGGCATTTTAAGAATTCTTTGCATACCTTTACTGAAAGCGATCATGTCTAGACTAGTAATTCCTGAAAAACAAGGTAAGACTATACAAAGCTTTGTATTGGATAAAACCACAAATGCCAGTAGGATGATTATATTTAGATAGTCTGATCTACAGTCAACATGAGTGCCCTCTTTGCCATTACACATTGACAAGTTTAATACTATGTAATTTAGATGATAGAAAATGAAATATATATTATATTTAGAAAGTTTTTGTAAATGTTATCCAACCGTTTATTTGTTATGATATATATCCGCATGAAATTACTAATTCTACTGATCAAAACTTTACTATGTTTGCATTACTTTCTCAGGTGTTTTGTTTTCCAATATCTGTCTCGTAGCAGCCGCTTGTGCAGTAGGAGGATCATCAGTGTTTAACAATATTTACTATGAAACAAGACCTTTATACAAAGGTTTGGTATTTTTTGTAATGGCTGGTTTCCAGTTACTTGGAACAGTTTTGATTATGTAAGTTTATCTCTCCTTTTAAGTATAGACTCATTGACAAAACAATTTCACGATTAAAACAACTGACACATTGAAATTTAACATACCACTTGAAAAGAATGGATTATTACAGAAAATGATTGTAAATGGGTAAAATAAACATGTTTTGTTATCACCATCGAATGGACAAGCAGATGAAAAATATGAAACTATGTTCACCAGAAAAGCGCTGCGGACGCATGAGACTATTAAAATGTGTTATTTCATTTTACCCACAAATCGAATGCGGATTTGTGTTTTTATGTATAACCTTTTCTTTCAATCGAAAAAATATCGTTATTCATTTATTTTTATTGCTGGTTAAAAAAAATCTTTAACAAAACCATACTGATTTTATCATCATGTATATTCATTTAGTTTCAATCTATGAGAAATATCATTATTTACCTATTTCTATTCTAAAGGTTTGCTATTTTGAGAAAGTCTTCATCAGGCCATGTTGATTTGATTGTTCACAATCCTGATGTTCAGACAAAAAGAACTGAAAAATGATGTCCATACTCATTTTTTCCATGAAGAAAATAATGTACTACTGTCTTTCTTGATAAAAGGTTATTCAAAATATAGTTATAAATGCGTAGCAATATACATACAGCTGAAACTTATCGCAGAGGACCTGTCGCGACAAACGGAAAAACACAACAGCATAAGTGGACGATAGGATTATATAAAAATACTCATATACCCTTGGAAAATTTATTGCACATACCTTTTAGAACTTTTAATGTTTTACGTATTATTCATTTCTTTATTTACTGAAATTAGGCTGTAAAATAATAAATGTTCTTTGTTAGACTAAGACTTTTATTTCATGTACAAATTGAAAATAACAATACAATATTGCATTTGTAGAAACATGTTAATATTTAAATTATTATCATGACTTACCAAATTAGACTTATCACCGGGTTTGTACTTACATGAGCAATACGAGGAGTGCCACATGTGATGCAGATCTGCTTACCCTTTCGGAGCACCTGAGATTACCGCAAGTTTTCGGTGGGGTTCGTGTTGCTCAGTTTTTAGTATTCTATGATGTGATTTGTATACCCTAGTTTGTCTATTGGTCTTATCTCTTTTTTGCCATGGCATTGTTAGATTATTTTTGACATATGAGTTTGAATGTCCCTTTGGTATCTTTCGTCTTTCTCTTATCGGTGAATATAACAAGTCTTGAGTGTGAAAGTTAGTTTGAAGCAATAGATATTTAGATAGAATTGGACCTTTAACGATATTCCTTCTTGCTTTGCACTAATTTCTGACAATAAGCGCTCCTCTTTCATGCGCCTTATTAAACAAATCTATTCGTAAGTGAATTAAGGAAGACCTTTTTGCATGACATTTTTGGGCTTCGAATACATGTCCGATCTACCCGATTTAATGTGGATCTTACTTTCTTTTATCCCGTCAATAATTAACTGCCTTTGTTAATTCCATCGTTTGTCTGATAATGTCTTTCCTTGTAAGCTTATCATCTCCTATATCTCGTCACTACAAAGTTATCTTTAATTACAAAATAAAAAACAAAATGGCGTTGAAAATATATTTTGTAAAATACAGTTGAAATTTCATAAAATGTGCATGTACAAGATTTTAAAAGTGAACCACAGACGTGCGTTTCGTCAACATGATACTCATCAGTGACCTCGAATAAATTGTTAAAATGTCAAAACTACGAAGTTGAAGAGCATTGAAAACTAAAAAGCTGTGACAAATATGACTACGGTGATCGGGACTTGGTGAGAAGAAAAACCTTCGTGCTCCAAATAATTATTTAATTCAATAATTTATAAGCACTAAATTTACAGAAAATGACTACTGTGGATTCAGAAATTATTGCGAGGTTTTTATTTATGCGAATAATGCGAATGGTTGAGTATCGCAAAAATAAGAACTCGTATTTTAATATCGGTTACTTATATCTGTATGCAGTATCTCCTAAAAATCGCAATTATTTATCTCTCAATGATATTTCATGTAAACACAGAAATGCGGACTACTGTGCTTGTGGTACAATCTCGGGACGAAATATCCACCAGATTTGGCATATACATATTGTTTGTTAACACTCATAAATATACCAGGCTTGTAATTTGGTAAGCCAGACTCGTGTTTCGTCTAGACAAGACTCATCAATGGCGCTCGAATCAATTTTTTTTTATTCTACTGTTTTTCTTTTTTTTTTAGGTATTCTTGACTTTGTTCTTTTTGTCTTAGATATACAATAAAAACTGATGAATTCGTATATATCCAGTTAACAAAGTAATACATTTTGTAGCACATAAAATATCTAAAAGTTATCTGGGTCTCTCTATTTTAACTGACCAAAGCAGAGAGATGTTTAGAAATAATATTTAGATCATCATGAAAATTCTAATCAATACAATAATTTTAATGACTAAATTTACTATTTTATAATGCAGATAATAGATAAAACTTATTCAACATATTTATGAATTTAAATGACAAGAAATTATAAGGAAGTCATAATAATAATAATAATTAGTATTAGATGTTGAGATCGTTAGTAGTATTATTATCATTGCTACTATTAAACAAATCACTGTTACTATATTTATAAAATTCAAATGTTCTATTATTATATTTTTCGTATTATCTACTATGATATGTTTATGTTTGCATACAATGACACGTGTGTAATGTAAATATTAAGATAAAGTTTTATTCAGTAAATTATGCATACAGTGAGTGACCTTATACAATTTGGGACAAAACAGGCTCACTGGAATAAACTTTGATAATGGAGGAAACGAAACCTCTTTTAGAAAAACATAATAAATCATTTGGAAGTTTTAGTACTCAATTACGGGTAGTATTTTATGTGATGATTTATGGTTGTGCGTTTGAAACGTCTGGCCAAGCTGAACCACAGTATATATATGCGTATTTAAAAAGTGTTACAAATGCTACCGACTTCCAAGCAACAAACGATTCTCTACAAACATCAAAGGCATGTCTTATCAACTCAACATCAGCTTCTGATGACAAAATCCAAGGTTTAACATCAAATTGGTCGTGGTATATTTCTTTAGCACAGGCTGGATTTGCACTTCCGGTTTTAATGTTTGTAGGTCCAATGGCAGATAAAATTGGACGAAAACCTCTTATTCTTTGGAACGTTTTGTTAGTATGTATATCACTTGCTTTAAAAACAACAATTGTTTACATGAATTTACATTTATATTTCTATGTAATTGCTTGTGGAATTCTGGGTTTATCTGGAAATTTTTACGTATTTCATTTAGCCAATATTGCAATTTTGGCAGATTGCACATCAGAAGGAAAAGAAAGATCTTTCGTGCTTGTTATTTATGAAACACTCCTAGGACTCGGAACTGCTTGCTCTCAAGTAGGTACTGGATATTTAATACAACTTGTTGGTTTTTCTTACCCATATCTTATATCATCAGGACTTATGCTCACTCTGTTAATCTTAATCACCATTAGTCTAACAGACCCATGGAAACCACAAGAAATTGTCTCAACACTCCGTTTCCGCGAAATTCCAGTACAGCTGTGCACATTATGGAAATCATCAAAACAAAATAGCAAACATTACGTCAGATTGCTAATATTATATTTTGTTGTGTACTGTCTTTATTACTTGCCCTTGAATGGTTCTTTCTCGTTACGAACAATTTATGTCTTAGGCGAACCTTTTTGTTGGACTTCGGAACACATTGGATGGTATAACACTGCAACCAATTGTATAGTATATATTTTCGGCAGTGCCGTGATCAAATGTCTACACGTATGCTGTGTCCATCTAAAAGATGAGGTGATTTCAATTTTTTGTATGCTATCTGGTGTAGCATGTTTTGTTCTGTTCGGACTTTCAAATGATGACTCGATGATTTACACAGGTAAGGTAATGAAAATATCACTATATATTTGATGCGTTCGAAGCGCTTTTCAGGATTAAGCCTGATCAGGAACGCTCAAAATGCTTAGAAGCCAGGGATGGATGAATACTTGAAGATCATTATTACCAAATGAGACCTTCACAGAGTAGACAAATTATCTAAGGTCAACTCTGCCTGAGGGAGTTAGAACCTTAAATCTTCAGTACCATATCATTATGATAGTTATACTATATCCATATTATCAGATAGACTTCGTGTATTGTTTTCCATGTGTCACTTTGGTATATCATATTCTTGTTAAATGTGATCGTGTCTTTTATGGCAGAAAAAAAAGTGAAAAACTTTAATATTGCTTGATTTTGCATGTATACACAGTAAAAGTAATTAAATATAAAATTAAAATTGTTTTTCTTTTTGTCAAAAGTTTTTTAAGTGGTTTTGAATGGTTTTACACTAGTAATTTTTTGGGGCCCTTTATAGCTTGCTGTTCGGTGTGAGCCTATGCTCCGTGTTGAAGGCCGTACCTTGACCTATAATGGTTTACTTTTATAAACTGTAACTTGGATGGAGAGTTGTCTCATTGGCACTCATACCACATCTTCCTATATCTATTGACAAACAATTATTGAAATATTGAAACTATTCTAATATTGCACAGTAAGAACAAATCGCGAGGACATTCTATACAAACACCTTTCTTTTTGTTGTTACAAGATAACCAGTTTATCCCAGAAGAGCCCACAGCATTTTTCACCTTTATATATAGCATTGACATTTATCAGTAAAATGCAACCAAGATTCATTGTATAGTCCCAAGATAATATGGACTTATGAATATTAAAAAGTTCAAATATTTCAATATCTCATTTTTCAGCAACAGCAATTGGTATACTGAGGTTTCTGCCAATATCTATGATTAAAGCTGTACTATCTCGTTTAGTAAGTAAAGACAAACAAGGTAAGTAAAAGCATAATTGATATTGCAAATTGTATGATAAACAATCAAATTCACAAGAAGGCTATACATTAGATACATTATGCATTGAGTGTTTAATGAGAGTTTCCATATATCGGCTTTGGCAATACTTTTTGTCCTTTTTGGATTTATCAGCTGTAAAATTTTTTAATAAAATTGGGTTTTCAAACAGTTTGGCTTCGATCATCACCGAAGAGACATTTATTGTCGAAATGCACATCTGGTGCAGTAAAATTGGTATCGTTAATGTTATTCCATATACGTTGCTTGATAAAGATGTAATTCGACCTGGTTCGGGACAAAGAACATTTCTTCTGTATTCACTACCAGGGATCATTTCCTTGGGTAGATCACGGTAGTTTTACCAGACGATTTCTTTATATTTATAAAAATTTTAACTGTAAAGAGAAACTATTCATACTGAATTTGTTGTGTAATTTTTGCAGGCTGTTGAATGCGCTTTACTATCCCTGGTGGGTCTGCAACTATATAAATGATTCATACGATACATTTTTCCCCTTTTAGGTGTATTGTTTTCGAATGTGTACCTGATGGAAGCTGTCTGTTCTCTTGGCGCTGCTACTTTGTTTAACAACATTTATGACCAGACAATGTCGATATACAACGGATTGGTATTTTTTGTTATGGCTGGTGTTTCAACAGTTGCAGTACTTTTCCTAATGTAATTTTTTTAAACGACAAATTTATATATAAATGCTCAAAATATTCCACACAAAGTTCGAGATTTATAAAGCATAAAGAAAATGGGCGATTCCTTTTGCATTGTTAATCAATCACATTATTCCACCGGTTTCACTTCAACAAAAAGATGATCATGTCAAACGTATGAAGCCAAATTGATAAACTAGCCGTCATCAATGTGCAATATTTCTCTGCATTATGTTATTCTTAGAGGTTCGCATTTTAATCAGGTATTTAAGGATTTACTTAGGTCAGGCTTAGGAATTTTTGTCAGATGTTTTTTCCTACGTTACAGGGTAAAATATTTTGCCCCATAACACCCGTTTTTCTTTTCATATAAGACTTCAATAGCTCATAAAAGGTCATTTACCAAAATTTAAGCAGATTCTAGATTTCTTTTCTTTCGATTTGAGACCCGAAGAATACCAATGCAAATATAAGGTAAAAGTCCGAGTCAGCCGTTTCCCGCCATGTTTTAAAATTTAATATTTCGAAAAGGAGCTCCATAACCAATCAATATTTTTTAGCTTATTTTGTTCCTTAACTAATGCTCTTCTGACTTAGAGTATCAATTTTAAATTCTAGATTTTTTTTAATTTCACCTTAGTACATCCTTAAACATCCTTAGGTTTCAAATTTTTAGGTTAAGGAGTTGATAATGAAGGTATTTAAAGAAAAGCGCTTCGGACGTACCAAATTGAAAAATGTATTTTTTTATGGTCCTACATCCTGTCGATACGTACATTTTAACATTGCACAAGAACTCTTTTTCTCAGATTTAGACAACGGCTGTACACTAAATACTTTGGAGGCGTACTGATAGATTATTTAGTCTGGGAAACATTGTCTTTTTATTATGGTAGTTGAAATTGGACATTTTAATAACTGCGAGTAATCTTAGATCATTACTCTAATTATTATGATAATTTATGATAAGATCAAGGACAAATTTCTTTAAACACTGTACAGTATTAACATGTTAAGTTCAGTTGTGTTGTCAAAAAGTCTGTTTAACCGAACTGAGGCAGAGCAATTGTCGAATTCTCCACGTTCATTGTATCAGTGTGTCGTCATGGGAAAGCTATGCCACTTAAAAGGAAACAAATTAAAAAAACATGAGCAAAAAAAAAAAATGAAAAAAAAAAACGCCACAAAGTTCATTGAATGCACTCCGTCATTAATATTTGTTGTCTACATAAAACTTGATTAAAAAATAAATTAGAACAGACGGATAAATCATTGGAGAAGGGGCGATATTCTTATCCGACCTTATATTTATTTTCACGTTTCAGTAATTAAAACGATGCAAATTAAGATAAACATCAGGTCCTTAGAATCAAAAACTGTTCTTTTACTTTTTTGAATTTCAGATACATTTCCTGCACAAATACACAGCATATACGTGATGAAATCATCATAGAAAAGCCTACAGACAACATAGAAAACAGAGATCTTACAATAAATTCAAATGAACAGAAGAGCACAAGTATGTAAGATAAAGGAATGGTCGTGAAACTTACCGATGATGCGTAAATGAAGTGATTATGGTCTTATTTATTGTTGTTTTTCGTACTGTTGTGCGCGTGACTGTTACAGTGTATCAAATTTTGAATGTATAATTAATCTTGAGCAAAAATAAAAATCAACTATCTTGTGTTAAACTAGTAGTAGAAATAAAAGGAGATATGGGTATATTTCAATTATACAGCAACCGAACAAAAAAGAATGACACACTAAAGGGACTATTTTATACAAAATTGTTTACTTCTTATTATAAGAGGAAGGAATTCACCAACTAGCCCGTTATTGCTTTTTAAAACAGAGGTAGGTTTAAATTGCCTCTGTTTTCCTAACAGTAAGTGAAACCAACCGGGACTTGAATATTAAAGAATCTATATAATCATGATAACATACTTTTAAAAATGCATACCTCGAATTGCAAATATTTTCCTTACTGAATCTATTTTCAAGGAAAAACTTTAGAAAGGGAAAACTAAAAAATTCTTTAACAACAAAAGCATATACCTTGATGATTTACTTACTGTTGATTATTCCGGATTTTTAAACTGTTTGACATAATGAAGATATTTATCCCAATGAACTTAATTCAGCTCAATTAATTCTAATATAATAGTTGATATGGTCCAGGTTTAGAAATAACTTCACATGTACAAAATGGGAAAACAATGTAACTAAATATTAGACAAGAAGATGTGGTATAATTGCCAATGAGACAACACTGCACCAGAGACCAAATGAGCAAAACCCATACCACATAGTCAGCTATAAAAGACAAAAAAAAATGACAAATGAAAAAAACAATTCACACGAGAAAACTAAAGGCCTGACTTATGTACAAAAAAATTAACGAAAAACGAATTTGATATACAGCAACAAACGACAACCAATGAACTATGGGCTCCTGATTTGGGACAGGCACATACAGAATGTGGTGGGGTTAAACATGTTTGTGGGTGCCCAACTATGGTCAGCCATTCGGGCAAAAATTAACCAAATTTAAAAAAAACAGACGTTAAAATAACAAACAGACATCACAAGCGAAAACAGACATAAAATTAAAAACAGAGGTCAAAAACGAAAACAGAGGTTAAGAACAAAAACAGGCAAAGAATTAAAAAAAAAAAACAGACATCAAAAACGAAAACAGACATAGAATTAAAAACAGAGATAAAAAATGAAAACAGACATAAAATTAAAAACAGATAAAAAATGAAAACAGACATCAAGAACGAAAAGAAACATAAAATTAAAAACAGACATAAATTTAAAAACAAACGTTAAAAATTAAAAACAGAGGTCAAAAACGAAAACAGACATACAATTAAAAAACAGACGTTAAAATCAAAAACAGACACCAAAAACGAGAAAGGACATAAAATTAAAAACAGACAAATGATGAGAAAAATAGAATAGAAACTTTTTGGAAACAGAAAATAATGATTATGACAGAAAGAAGATCTACTCTTTGTTTTTACAACCAATGTCAATTAAATATGACACTGTTCATACTATATAGGCCAATACAGAACTTGATTCTACTTCTATTATGAAAGCTAATGTTAAAGTTACATTACTGGCAGGAGTGTATTATACACTGTAATCAAATTGTAGTAGATTTGATAAGTAAGTGAGTGCGATATGCCCTTTGTGTATGGCTGACATTGAAGATACTGAACATTTTCCGTTACAGTGCAGCAGTTCCAGATACTGCGAGGAGACCGTTTATTACAAAGCCGATAAAATTGGACGAAAGCCTGTTTTGATGTGGAATTTAGTTATAACACTAGTTTCATTTATTCTTAAAACAGTAATTGTGTATAGAAACATGAATTTATATTATTATACCATTGCATGTGGAATATTAGGGCTTGTGGGGTCGTTTTATACATATAAAATAACAAACTTCGCTATTCTTGCAGATATAACCTCAGAGGGTAAAGATAGTATCTTTAATGATGACTGTATATGATGCCTTATCTGCCGTTGGTTCTGTTAGCTTTCAAATAGGTACTGGGTATTTAATACAACTAATAGGTTTCACAGATCCGTATATAATTACCTCAGGCATGTTTTTGTTTCTTTGTGTTTTAGTACAGATTACCCTTACTGACTCTTGGAAACCGCCGGACAAGAAAACTAAAATAAGATGGCTTAAGATTCCTTTTGAGTTATTTTCATTCTGCTTTAAGCCTGAAAATATGAATAAACTAGCAAATATAACCAAATTCATCATATATTTCTTGGCGTATTGCCTTTTTTATTTTCCACATTGTGTAGTTAGTGCAATAAGAACTATATTTCAGTCGGGAACCCCGTTTTGTTGGACATCTGAACATATTGGATGGTATGGAGCAGGATCTGACTTTGTCATGTTTATAGGTGGAACATTCATGCTTGAGACATTTCATTCTTGTTGCGTCGGATTGACCGACCGAATCATCGCAGTCTTTGGAATTCTATCCTGCATGGCAACGTATATCGTGTATGGGATTTCGACAAAAACCAATGGATATTTTACGGGGGTAATGTATGTTCTATTAGTTGTAATTTATTTTTTTACGATTTTTTTTATATCAAATCAATCAAATATTTCTGTTGTTAATGCAGTTTTTATAATCGTAAACTGAAAAGTTGTAGTTTACTATTTACCATGAATTGCGTTTATCTTTTCCAGCAATATTAAAGAAGCAAGCTTAATTGACATAATTTCACATTTCAGCAATAGGGACAGGAATTATTCGAGTTCTACCAGTGTCTTGAATTAGAGCACTTTTGTCCGAGATGGTACACAAAGACAAGCAAGGTTAGTTATCGAGATTACTATAGGTTTTATACAGCATTATTTAATAAACAGCATTTTAGCAATGGAAAACTACAGTTATACATAACAGTTAACTATGGGATTTGAAAAAAAACTTTTATAAATCCGTTTCCCGAAAAAAAACACACATATATAGCAAACAATGTGACGTGCCAACAAATTATATATACAAGTAAAGGTATAATATATATAACTAAATACTAAAAAAATATCAACGAAACAGTTTACAGAGACTTTTTTCTAAGAGACGGTTACTATATCCACCACACACGCATGTCCAATTAAAGCCGCTTACCACTGAAATGTTCATCAGTTAAAGTAAATTATACGCCGTTTAAATTTTTCCATTTTTTTAAAGGAGTACTGTATTCATCCATTCATGTGATGGAAACATTACTGAAAATAGGAGGTGCCACACTGTTTAACAACATCTATCACCATACCTTGTCATTATATAACGGATTTGTATTCTTCACTATGGCGGGCCTTGTTTTGTTGCCTTCATCTTAATGATGTAAGTTATAAAAATCACACATTGTCTTGTTTGTTTGTTTTTTGTTATTTAAAAAAAAAGTCACTCTCCACATGCAATATGTTCTCAATCCTTAGCAACTATACACAAATATCAATCGTTTCGATGTAGAGATTATCATCATTTAAAATATAATTAGAATGAACAATTATGTAGAAACCATTTTTTAGCTGTGGCCCAAACAACAGAAGACAAAAAACACGGACAATTGAAAACAAAGGTCGTAAACAAAAAAGTTTTAAATTCCAAGAAATTTGTATTATTTTGTACAAACAATGTAATACTTAAACTGTGTGCTTAGATACAGCTAAAGGATATCTACTTTTCTTTTCAGGTATGCGGTATGCTTAAAAACGACCAAGAAAAACAATGAACTCATTATAGAAAAACCAGCCATCCAAGACGTGGACGGTATTGAAAACCCAGCCTTCCAAGATGTGGATGGTAGAGAATCAAACGTTTAAAACAATTATAACAAAAAGACATGAACAAAGTATAAAAATTTTATTTTTTTAAAGAGATATGAATAAGATGGTCATGAAATTGCACTTCTAACCGAATGTTAACAATTGCGTGATCTCTAACAATGATAGCAAAAGCAGTCTGATGTATGTGAGAAATATAGTTTTTATTATTCGCATAACCATTTATTGTCATTAGTTAATGTCCGAAATCTTATTTTTTATTTATAATGTGACTTCCTCTTTATCTATAGATTATAAAGTACCAACAATGGTGAAAGACTACTAAGGCAATTACGTGTAGAACTGTTCTCATTGTATCTACGTCTTTCTGTATTGATAACAAACTTTGCAACAGCTTTTGGGTGATGAGTCGTAGCTCCTCATTACTAGAAGCAGGTCTAATTATCTGAATGCATTATGCTAGGAAATGTAAATATATGTTCATAGCCGGAACCTCAAATATCCAGCAAGATATAGTTCCTCTTTTTATTCTAAGTTATATTGACTATGGGGAAGGTCTTACCATCATGGAATCAAATGACCTATATATTGCTGAAGCTGTATGTTAATCTGTATGTTAATCTGTATGTGTTCTTTTGTTATTTGTGTCATTTAGTTATTGTCTCCTTGAAGTATACCCTTTTCTTTGGAAAGCTATGTAATGAAGGAAGTTTTTCATATGAAGTTACTATAGTTATGTCAAATTACATTTTTACCGGTATTTAACAGTAATATAACAATTTGTCTGGTCCTTAATGTTGTATAGAATAGATGCTGATGTGAAAAGCAATATTGGGTGCTTCATTTTGACAACACAGAGCGGAAAATTCAAATATGGGTTGCAGTCAAAATGCTTCACGGAAATACATTAATAATTTCCTTTTTTTCCCTAGAAAAAGATATTATTTTTGATTTGAGTTAAAACAAAGAGGGATATATTAATTTCACGAACCATGGGTACTCAATTGTAATAGACATTAACAAAGACGGGAGTGATTTGTCATTGAGGTAGAACCCAACGTCGCCTAAGATTTACAACAACAAAAAAAAGCATCAAAAAGTGGAGGTACGAATTTTATCATTATAAATAGGAAGATGTGGTATGAGTGCCAATGAGACAACTCTCCATCCAAGTCACATTAGACAAGATTCTATACAATATGTCAAACTATTAAGTGTTCAAAGTCTAGAAAACTTACGGCTTAATCTAACCCGGGACTAATAGCTGTACTAGTCCTTATCTAAAAAGTAAAATAACAAAAATACCGAACTCCAAGGAAAATTCAAATCGGAAAGTCCCTTATTAAATGGCAATA